TTGATATGGACGGGCGCCTGCGCCCGGATCACATCTGTACGGTGGAGCACACTGGCACATCGGCATCAGCGCCACTAGCTGCTGGAATTTGCGCCTTAGCGCTCGAAGCAAATCAGAATATAACGTGGCGTGACATGCAATACTTGGTGGTATATACGTCGCGGCCTGGACCACTGGAAAAGGAGAGCGGCTGGACGCTCAACGGTGTCAAGCGAAAGTATAGCCACAAGTTCGGCTACGGTCTAATGGATGCGGGGGCTATGGTTGCGCTGGCAGAGCAATGGAACACGGTGCCCCCGCAGCACATTTGCAAGTCTCGTGAAAACAATGAAGATCGTAAAATCGAGGGCGCCTACGGCTACTCGCTGGCTACGCATATGGATGTGAACGGCTGTGCCGGCACCATTAACGAAGTGCGCTATCTGGAGCATGTCCAGTGCCGCATCACGCTGCGCTTCTTTCCACGAGGCAATCTGCGTATCCTGCTCACCTCGCCCATGGGTACGACAAGCACGCTGCTGTTTGAGCGGCCTCGCGACATTGTCAAATCCAACTTCGATGATTGGCCATTCCTTAGCGTCCACTACTGGGGTGAAAAGGCCGAGGGTCGTTGGACACTGCAAGTGATCAACGGCGGACGTCGGCGCGTCAATCAGCCAGGAATTCTATCCAAATGGCAATTGATCTTCTATGGCACCTCAACGCAGCCGATGCGTCTCAAATCTGAGCTTCTAAATACGCAGCTGCGTAACAATCCTATTGCAAGCAATCCATTCTTATTCTCATCAGCCTCCAATATAGGCCAGCCAGCCAACGAAGGCGGTAACTTCAATACGGACAACTTCGCGAGCTACCTGAACTATCAAAACCTATTTAGCAGCGCAGGCTCCAGTCCCGAGATGGCAACCGCCACGCTTGACGGCCAAAATGTCTCGGCCCCACTAGCGGCCCAATCGCCTAATGGTCTGCCCAATGGCGATAACAAGCTCATACAGTATTCCTGCGATGCCGAATGCGATTCCCTTGGCTGCTATGGCCGTGGACCCACACAGTGTGTGGCGTGCAGCCACTACCGTCTGGATAAGTAAGTGTGTTTACTCTTGAGTTAGCCGATCCGTTTGCCTAGGAGAGTCAGACACCAGACCAACATCCAAGCTCAATCAGCTGTGTATCTCTATGTATTTATAAATTTATTATTTGTTGATGTTGATTGGTTTCATGGGATTGCCACTAAGCGAGGGTAACCTGTGCTCCCTATGTATTGAGAGCTTGGTCTGCAGAATATATTTTGTCTTCCACCTGGTAGTAGTTACTTAATATTCCGATAATTCTTGCATGTGCAGCACCTGCGTTAGTCGTTGCCCGCCGCGCTCGTTTCCCAATCAAGTGGGTATATGTTGGCCCTGTCACGATTCGTGCGAAACATGTGCTGGAGCTGGACCGGATAGCTGCCTTACCTGCGCGCCGGCACACTTGCATGTTACCGATCTCGCCGTCTGTCTGCAAGTATGCCCCGATGGCTACTTTGAAGGTGAGCGTGTGGTATCAAGATACGATAACTGAAATAGTGATAACATTGCTATTTCCTTATAGATATCAAGAACAAAACGTGTGTACCGTGTGAGCCGAATTGTGCATCCTGTCAGGACCGACCCGAGTTCTGCACCAGCTGTGACCATCATCTCGTCATGCATGAGAACAAATGCATCTCAGCCTGTCCTTTGAACACATACGAGACTGACGAGAACAAGTACGATGCAAGTGACTCAAGAATTATCATATATTATATGTGTATTATTCTTAACGCAGATGCGCCTACTGTCATCCGTCGTGCGCCACATGTAATGAAGCTTCCGAAAATAATTGCATCACTTGCCGCCCCAGTCGTTACGCGTATCAGAACAAATGCCTGAACAACTGCCCCGAAGGATTTTATGCCGATAAAAAGCGCTTGGAGTGCCTGCCCTGTCATGAGGGCTGCAAGACTTGCAGTAGCAATGGCATCTGCTCAGAGTGTTTGCCCAACTGGACGCTCAACAAAAAGGATAGCTGCATTTTGGCTGGCAGTGAAGTCTGCTCTGAATGTAAGTCCAGTTCGACTCGATTTGTGTCAGTCATATTTAATGAGTTGCTTCTCCTGTGCTGTGTCCCTCTGCAAACGCAGCCGAGTATTTCAATCTAGCTGAGGGCAAGTGCAACCATTGTCATGAGTCATGCGCGACTTGCAACGGACCGCTGTCTACCAATTGTCTATCCTGTCATCAGAACCGCCTGTTGGAGCAGAGCAGTTGCGTGAGTGGCTGTCAAGACGGTTTTTTTATGGAAACGGGCGTCTGTACGCCATGTCTACATACTTGCACACAATGTATATCCCGCACCAATTGTAGCAATTGTTCCAAGGGTCTTGAGCTGCAAAACGGCGAATGTCGCACAACTTGCGCCGACGGGTAAGACTGGGAGCAGTATATCGAATGGTAACACATTTATGGACTGAATATATTTTGATTGCAGCTACTACAGCGATCGCGGCATCTGTGCCAAGTGTTACCTCAGTTGTCACACGTGCAGCGGACCGCGTCGTAATCAGTGCGTCCAGTGCCCGGCTGGTTGGCAGCTGGCTGCAGGTGAATGTCATCCGGAGTGCCCCGAAGGATTCTACAAGTCAGAGTTTGGCTGTCTGAAATGTCATCACTATTGCAAAACCTGCAATGGTACGTACTGTAAAACGTGACTCCAATCTCATAAATTGTTAATGGATTATGCTTTAGGTGCTGGTCCATTGGCATGTTCATCGTGCCCCACACATTTTATGCTTGATGGCGGCCTTTGCATGGAATGCCTCAGCTCTCAGTACTATGATGGAACCACCCAGAGGTGCAAAAGCTGCCACGAATCGTGCCGCTCGTGCTTTGGTCCCGGTCAGTACTCGTGCAAGGCATGCGCTCCCCCGTTCCATTTAGATCAGTTAAATAGCCAGTGCGTGCCATGCTGTCCAAATAAAACGTCTACCGATAATGAAACTAGCTTGGAAAACTGTTGTCATTGCGACATGGACACGGGTAATGTGCCGTAATTAGTGGAATTGAGAAATGTTTATTTAATTGAAAACTGTTTTCCGTTGTAGGCGAATGTAAGACAGTATCGACAGCTGGTAAACGTCGTACCGTGGTGGGCTCCGACAGTATTTTTAGGAATGTGGATCGATCAGCCAATGGCGACGATGGCAATAGCGGAACATTTGCTTTGCGTCTTGACTCACCGCTGACAGCCATTACAGCGATTGCGATTGCCATCTGTTTGTTAATTATCACGATATTCTCTATAATATTTGCCGTTTTACAGGTAAGAAAAAGACTTTCTAAGTGTTTCGCCAAATATGTTTATCCTAATTTTTTGTTAATTTTTGTTCACTGGTGCAGCGCAACAGCAACCATGGATCAAGGAATTCGGTTCGGTACAGGAAAATAATAAGCAGCTCGGGTCGTAAGAGCGATCCGAGCAATGAAGCTAGATTTATATTCAATGTGGGCGAGGACGGTGATGATACAGATGATAATACGGATGATGATGATGTCAATGTGAGGACTATTAAGAAAGTCGTCTACGAACCCAATGGTCCAATGAATGGTAACGAATTTTTTATTAAAAGTACAAATGATATTGATGCGGTCGAGTTTCATTGCGAAGGTGCGGGTAATACGAATCAAAACAAATTCGATACGCATCACAATGCAAACATATACACCGAAAATAACAGTCCCACGTATTTGAATCAGGCAACGAGCAGCAGAATGAATAGTAAGGTTGTTCATAGCTGATTCTTTAATAGATTGAATGTGAATGCAACAAATTTGATAGCAACAATTGCCACAAAATCAACACCAACTTTGATCCTGAATTTCTTGCTCTGGACTAGTAAATTTTAACCTTACTTGAGGAATATAGCGAATCGAAATATTTAACATCCGAAATGATAAAAATTTATATGTGATTGTGAA